GGGATGACAAAAAAACTCGAGGTGGAAACAAGAAAATAGTCTGTACTGTATTAAAGCCCAAATAACATAGCAAAACATAACATAACATAACATAATCTTTATTTCTTAAGATAAAATCACATATCCTAAGTTACAACATAAACTCACAAGGGAAACTATTACATGTCATATTTAAAAATTATCCTATCACTAAAAACGTTCTTAAACCTTTCAGTGTGGATTCTAGGGACAGAGACTGACGTATTTCTAAGATTGTACCTCATGTTCTTTTCCCTAGGTAAAAACTAGAAAAACGGGCATTCGGGGTAATTCGATCTTTTTTTGTAGAGTGCCTTGTCCGCCTTCTCTAGCAAATCCCTGATATCTACATCCTTGGACATAAACTTCCTTTTCAAACACCGGTCCAAAAAATTCTGTATTATAGAAAGGTCGGCGTCATGATTGCTGTTTTAGGTCATGATTGCTGTTTTAGGCTTAGCTAGCATCTGATTGGTTGAGAGAGTAACATGATTTCCAAACTAATCACAGAACGCAGAGTACATTGGTGTTGCCTTATACTCCGCTCTTTGATTGGTCCACAAAACTTCTCCCGCCACCTTCTCAACCAATCAAATTCAAAACTGAAACCAATCCCGACTTGGTCAGCCGCGTATTTCCGCGCTTGGGCCGTTTGCATGTATTTTCTTTCAGTTCTCGTTAACTACATGCAATAATTCCCAATGATCTGAGTGGCCGTTTAAATTATTCAGTGGTTTTGGTTTCGAGACTCTCAATCGAGATGCACTCTATTTGACATTCATTATTCTCTTGCAGGCGATGTGGCCACAGAGTTTGGTTTCCAAAGCTCAGATGACGAGGTTTGTTCTTATTTTGATGCCAACCCAGAGGCAGGGTGTGTCTTGGGCACTGATCTGAAACCTGCCAGGAGCCCATTGCATGGAGCGTTCAATTCTCATACTGAGCCTATGTCACGGCATTTTCACAGAACGGTTTATTTTTAGACTATCTTTTCCCGGAAAATTAACTGCGCGCTAATCGTGATTGGTCGAAGGGCTTCCGTGGGGAATCCCATTTCGCGGTAAATTCAAACTAAAGATAAACTTGTCTGTGAAAACACCGTGACATAAAGAAAGGCCAGTTGAACGCCCCAAGTAATGGGCTCCTAAACCCGCTCAAACATCTAGTTTTATAATAATCATAATTTTCCGGGCTCGGAAAGTCGTAGACAATTACGACCCGCGGAAAGACATGGAAAATGTCTGAAATGATTACTTTGAGAAGAACAAAGCAGAAAACACCATGACTGAGCGATTGTTACAATCGATATGATTTTGAGAACAACTTCTATTGTAGGTTATGAAACTCGTGCAAAAAAAAAAACTGAAAAGGAAAGGTTTTGTAAGATCGAAAGGACACAAATTGAAACTCAACGCCTAAAAACGATCCGGATTAATATCAGCAACTGCACACCCACCCCTCCCCTAACACAAAATTAACTCTCACTTGTTATCAGTTGACTGCTGTTGGGTTAAGGGAGGGAGGGGTAGGTGCGCAGTTGAACGGATCCTGGGATTGTTTTATCGATCCTGTATGGCACGTGAATAATTTTCCAAAGCTAAATTCCTCTTGTTAGCAAATAGTTAGACCTTTCTGTACGATTTTAGTTGTTTGGTTACCTCAGTTGTATACTAGAGCACGCACAGGTGGCCCAAGCTCTGTCACATGCTCTTCCACAGTGGATTGTTAAAGAGTTTGTATAGTGGTTTAGCTGGACTTGCTTTACCACTATACAAACTCTTAATAATCCACTGTGAAAGAGCCTGTGACAGAGCTTGGGCCACTTGTGGAGCACGTGGTCAGAAATACAGGACAGCGTTGAGCGACTACTGCATTTGAAGGTGTAAAGGCCAGCTACGCTTGGCGAAATAAACACAATAACTCATATACGTCCAGATTCTTTATAATGTAATAACAACTTTAACGATTTACAGTCATCTATCTAACGATTCGAAGTTATTGGGCTTAGTGCTTCTTCAGAATCAACCAAAAAAAGAAAACTACGAAAACACATGGCGTGGGAAATTGGGAAATTGCGCCCTTGGTTCCATGTCAGCGGCACTTATCGGGTCACGTAAACTTAACGAATCGTACAGGTGGTATTAGTCAGAATTCCCACTAAGTCAAAATCGAATGCTTTTTTTATTCTTTGCCTCGCATAAACGCCGTAAGGGATGTTTTTTTTTTTACCTCAGGTAACCCTTCTCTCCTCTGAACAAAATTCACCTACAGTGTCCGATTACCAAATATATGAAGCAGGGACAAATAATTCACTTAATTTCCTTATTTCCTTACAGGCTCGGGAAAAATACGAAGTTAGTGACGATGTGAAAAGACTTGATCCTTGCGATGTCGCGAATGCTGTTATCTATGCTGTCACACAACCTGCTCACTGCTCTGTCAACGAAATCCTAGTGGAACCTACAGACGCTCCTTGCTGAAGAAGTCAAGGGCTCTTAGGACTTACTAGCTTCAGTCGGCCAGACGAACTCATACATACAGAGTCGGATTTATTTAATTAATCACAATAACAACAAGTGTCCTTTTAAGTCATTCTTTTTTAACGTATTTCTTCAGTCGACCAAAGTTGTTTACCATGAATTGTATAGCGAAAAACTGATTCTATATTCTTCTTTTGTCAAAGTGAATATTCTACCTCTTCAATATCATTTACAAAACTTTTTTTTTGCCATGTCTTAGTTAGATATAGGGTTCTTGATGGCATTTGCTTCTTTGAGATTCAATCACAGTTTTTAGAACCGCCATGATATTTCATTTTGACTGCAATACCTACAGTTTCTTTCCGTGCACTCGAGGCTCGTTCAGTAAACTTGTGTCGCACAGCATATTTCATATTTGTATTATTACTTAGATTCAGCTTTAAAACTGTTTAGGCCCAGAATACTGATTACTTTCGTAGAACCTAGAAAAAGTATTTCCCTTTTCTTTAATATTTTAAGTGTTACTGTTGGTTTGTTTTTACCATGTAGTGTAGTTGCGACCAAATCACTCCAAAGCTAAATTCAAGGCTAGCGCCTTTACAGAAAAGACATTAACTCGCAGGAGTTTAAATAAACTGAGTTAATCTTTTTGGAATATTAATTTTGACCTCTTTAATCGGACATCCCGCCAAGCTGTAGTAAAATTATGTTTCGAGTGGAGTGAGTCCAATACGGATCGTTTTTAAACATTCTACAATTATATTTGTCACGCTCGACCATATATCTTTTTAGTAGGAAATGTGTCCAAGGCTATGGTAGTTAGTCTAGTCATTGAATTGATATCACAACTGCACACGAAATCATCAATGTTTGAGAAGGTCAGTTTAAATAACGAAAATAAACTGCACTGATGAATTTCTTGTTATTTTACTTGGTTGTTTTCTCGGGAAATTCCCGGGAAGCGTTCTAAAATAATTGTCTTACCTCGCGAGATTATTTGAATGAACAAGAAATAAAGTGTATTTACAATGAAATTCAGTTTGTTTGTTTTGCATTCCTTGTCCTCTTTTTCTTGGCAAGCAACTCACCGACAAACCGCATGAGATGATCATACTTCTTAAAGCGTGTAACATTCTTGAGTTCACATTTCGAACAACAACTTTTCATTCGCAATCGTACTTGGAGAGAAATTTTGCTGACTGGATAACTAAAGATGGCAATTGTTACGCCTGTTTAACTGGAGGATTATGATACCTTAATCAAATAGATAGCCATCCGGTGAAAAGGTAACACTGAGCTTATTTTTAACTTTTTCTAGCAGGTTGGTTCGCTCATAACTTAGGCTGGCTCACCAAGGTCTAGAGTTTGTTTGTTTACGAGGCAAAAACCAAAGTGTTTGGGCGACAGTCCTACACATCCGTCCAGCTTTTTGCAGATCGTACAAAGCCACCGTTGGATGTAGTTAAAGATTTAGACCTCGTGGGCCTAACTATAAACAGCTAATTAACTTACAAGCCCTATATTAAATCTGTATGTAATAAAGCATGTCAATGCTAAAGTTTAAACCCTCTCAGGAGGGTACGAAAGTTTATACCTGCTACTGATGTGATGATAAATCAGTATTTACAAGGCCTTCATCTTACCACACTTGGAATACTGCGCCCCTGTTTTAGTGGGACTTTCACCTGGATATTCTAAGAAGCTAGAATTTACCAGTCAGTTTGCTATCATAACACTAATGAATCTGCCCACGTCAACTCCATATGGCGATGCTTTATGCTTTAATGCTTCAATAGGTTTACTCCTAAAACAGTTAAAACTATACTAGGAGTTTTTACAGTATATAACATAACTATATTTAAAAGTATTAAAATAGTGATGACGATAACAAATAATAACATTGATTATAAACAATAATATTTCTAAAATAAATAATTAAAATTAATTACACCGCATAAATAAAAGCTCTACTGTCTTTAAATATGTAAGGACACGTTGGCCTTGAAATCATCTAGAGAGTTAGGGATTTGAGGTAAGTTCATATTGTTCCAAGTTCTGATAGTTCTGGGGTAGAAGGAATATTTGTATGTGTCATTCAGGGTGCAAAGCTGTTGGAATGGTACACATTTTGGGTACCTTGATGATCTGGTAACTTGCATTATCCGTGGATGGTAGCGAGATCCCAACAAGGCCCCTATAGATTTTGTAGAACATGCAGGTTTGATTTATCAGTCTTTGACGTTCCAAAGAATCCCATCCTAGTGATTTAATCATCTGAGATCTACCTAAGATAGTAAACATCAAGTCCCTGGAACATCGCAGATACACGCAAGCCCTAATCCTTCTTTCTAAATCTATTACGGGGCCAAACTACATCAAGGAATTGTTCTCATTGCGTTTGAGCAATTAGGACCTAAGAGGTTCTTGTAAGCTTAATCAGCCTACTTTTAAATCAAAGTATTTGCATAAATCTTATCGCTACATAACTTCATGTTTATGGAACAACCTACCCGACAATATAAGAAGAGCGTCCTCTCTTAGAATTTTTAAAAATTTACTGAACAATGTTAACCTGACTACCAAGTCCAATTGTTGCCATAATCTTTGTATCGAGTAGTTAACATATTTAAATTTTTATAGTCTAGTTTTTGAATTTTATAGTCTAGTTTTTGTATTTTTATCGAATTGATAACATATTTAAATTCTACATTTTAATTTTAGCATAACGCGTTCACATTTAAACGAGCCCCAGGCGCACTGGTGAAATGTGGCTAATCAAAGTACTACTACTACTATGTTCGTTTGCAAACGTCTCAAGCGAGTTTCCAAACCTCTTGTGCTGCTTTACTATGGTCTTAGGTAGGTTTCATAACGTTATATGTGCTTCGCAAACGACTCGCTTTGATTCACCTGAGATTTGCTCGCCAATAGCTCAGCCTAGTACCCTCAACGATTCTGCCTCGAAACTAGGAGCATTGCACACGATAGATAGAAAGTACCTTATGATTGGTTTGAGAAAACTGACCAATTAGAGAATCAATACTTTGTAGTTGAACCCAGTCTAGTCACGGCCGGAAAAACAACATGTCGGGGTTTTTCTTGTCCGATAGCAAAGGTTCTGCTTCAAAACCTAGAAAAAGACAAGCTAAACCGTCCCAGGTAAGGAAAATTATGATACCTGAATAAAATTTGAAGCTGTCTTAGGCTTGGTGGCATTTTGGAGTAAATCTAGTCTTTTGATTGAGTTCCCATGGTTCAACTTAGTGCTCACGTGGTTTCCATCGGTCACAAACATGTTACTGTATTTTACAGATTTCTGGGTTCAGAAATAAGAAGCAAAGGGGAAAAAAGTCTCTGACAAAAGCAGAACATATAGATGAAGATGAATTTGGGAGTGATTCAGATATTCCAAGGTATGAGCGTTCTCAAAACGTTAACGACTGCATTATTGCTTGACAGTTACTTGAAAAAAAAAAAAAACCGTGCAACGTGCAACTGTATATTTGAATGCATGATTGATCGAGGGTTTACATCATCGTTAAAAAAAGAACAATTGTGGTTGTTTTAACCATTTACATTCTAACATCAGTATGCATATTCTCCATGCTGTTCTCTATACATTCCTTCAGGTGCAGATAAGAAGAATTTGTTTAACAATCAAGGGCTTATTTGGTTGATGATCGTTTCCTTTATTCTCTTGACCTTGTTTTTTGAGTCATATATCTTATCAACCAAGCGCGAGGGCCGTACTGAGAGAATATCGGCCTGAGGTCTTGACAGTACGGACTGAGCACAGCTCGGTCCGTACAAAAAAAGACAGAGGGCCGATATTCTTCAAGTACGGTCCCGAGCAAGCTTGGTTAATAAGAGATTTATTATACAACTGAGGTCCAATACTTAGAGAATATTGGACCGGCAATAGAGCATTTTGATTGGTTGATTTTAGTTATTGGCCCTCTGACTGCCCGAGTCGTGTAATAAAGGGGTGATATTGTTAGGAGAAGTTAATTGCTGGTCACTCTTAGGGGTTAAAGAGTTGAGTAAAGCATATAATTAATCACAAAATGATAGATTTTATTAATCCCTAAACATTTAGCTCTGAAGGAGTCATCTTTATACCATATGCATTTAAGTTCTTTGTTTTGGGATGAAAGATTTTTGAACAGCATCAAATTTTAGTAGGTTTGGTCAGATGATCATATTATTTCATTATGAATTAATTTGAATATTCCTTTTAGTGAAAAAGAGGAAGACTCACCTGAAGAAGAAGAGGGCAGTGATCATGAGACGGCTCAAGAGAAACGACTTCGCCTCGCAAAACAGTACCTTGCACAGTTAGAGAAAGAAGGTAAATATTCTTAATATAAATAACTACTCTGCGTGTCAAAGATACTGGTAACTAATCTCTAATTGTTGCCTAGATGTAGGGACGGGCTCCAGACAGCCATATGTTGCTCAGAATGATTAAGGAGATTAAAGGGTATTGTGGCTGGTTTGAATGTGTCTTTGTCGTTCAGCACAACAGCAGTCAATTGACAACCAACTCCTTTTCTTAACTCTGATGATGACTTACTTAGGTTATCAAAATGTCAGTCACTGCCAAAGACAACAGTTCTTTTCAAACCCAGTTTAACGTAGATGATCAGACCACATTGTGGCTGCCATGGGCAACTAACTCTCAGCAAAACAGTTTTTAATGTGACTTTACAATATGTTCAACCTCAACAATTGCTGACACCAGTAGGCACTGATTGGAACGGTTACAACTATAAAGAAAATAATGAGCGAAAACCTATTACAATATAAATTAAGCTACCAGTAAATACACCTAAATCTAAATACACTTAGGAAAACTACAAGGAAAATAACGATGGAAACTACACAATACAAAACTTACATTATTTTGTTACAATGCTGATGAATTACTGCCTAATGGTGAAGAAGCTGCACGGTGTGCGGTATGATGAAGTATAATTGTGGACTTAATGAGTAAAACCAAACAAACCATGATGAACAATTATAGTGTTTAAATACGTGCTATGTTATGTAACGTTATGAAAAGATACAAAGCATAGTGCACACAAAATTTCTACTGCTATGAGTGCCGTTTGTAAAGGAGCAATTAATAATAAAAAAAAGAACAAGGCGTTTGTGATCTACACACATGACGAGGATGACAGACACTCCAATGACCAGAGTGTAAGACATCGTCATCAGAGCCGAGAAAAAAAATTGATATAGGTTGCAGGTGAAAATTAAATTCAGGTAAAAAAATTTTAACCTAAGTTGAATTTCAATTCTCTTTGTCTACAAGCCTTAATTGTGAATAATTAGGGCTCAGAGACAAAAGAAATTGAAATTCAACCTAGGTTAAAATTTTTTTTACCTGAATTTAATTTTTACCTGCAACATATACTTTCCAGGACAAACCCCCACCTGGATATTTATTATGTTGGTTATTATTATATGAGGGTTCAGATTCTTTACACTGAAATGACTCATGTTCCACCATTGATGTTTCCAGAGCTAGAAAAGAAAGAGTCGGATGACATAGACCATGATGCTATAGCTCACAGACTGAAACAGGATGTTGTATGTATCACACACATTTTCTATTACTTAAAAAATTCAATTATCGGTCATGATAGATAGGCACTGTGTTAATTCAGAGCTGTATTCAGACATTTTACTTCATAAAGGCAGATTTTTTTAAAGCTGTCAATTGAATGGACAGTACTTTTGTTGGTTTTTCTTGTAGCTTGAACAAACAGGCAGGTTACAGAAAAGAGTGGCCTCACAGGTACTGTAAAGCCGACTTTTCATTTTCTGGAGCATGCCTTTAAAGACTATGATTTGATTCTATGGTTTTTTATGAAACAGTTATTAACTTGTCATATAATTATGTGATTTATTGTATTGATTGGGTTGGTTTGAATGTGTGTTTAACAAAGAGCAAGTCTAAGTAATGTTTTTAGGAAGGAAATCAGAATTGCAATGGTTTGTTGTCGGAACTCTCATTCATGATTTTCATTTATTGAAACTGAAACTTTAAAATTTGTATTTTGTTTTTTTAGTATACTGGACCCTCCCCCACTGCCATCAGAGTTCTTAAAGGTCATCAGTTATCAGTTACCTGTCTTTGTGTGTCACCTGATGACAAGTTTGTCTTCTCTGCTTCAAAGGACTGTTCAATTATCAAATGTAAGAAAATAATTATGTACTTAATTTTGCATACCTATTACCTGATGAACATGTTCACCTTTTTTTCACTAGCATTGAACCATGACTTGCATAGACAGCCACATACATGTAGTTCATAGTTTTAATTCAATTACATGCACTTTGCATACTCTATCTCTACTTTCTCTTCAAACAACAAAAAAATTCATAGCTATCATTATTCATCAAGTGAACAGGTCAAGAATCTTTTCTCTCTCTTTGTCTCACAGCAGATAAACTGTTTTAGTTTCTTTTATCCCTTGACATAAATGTTGGTTCCAAACAGACATTTCATGATTTTAACATGATGCAACTCTTAGTTGTTACCAGGCTGAGCGAGTGATCTTGTTTGGCTTTCTTCTTTTTCTCCATTTCTTCTGCTCTTTTTACAATTCACCTACTCTCCTCCTCTCCCTTGGATTATTGATTTCCTTATACATTCCCTTCTCATGGAATCCATCCCCTTTTCCCCCTCCCTCTTTTTCCCCTCCCTCTTTTCCCCCTCCCTCTTTTCCCCCTCCCTCTTTTCCCCCTCCCTCTTTTCCCCCTCCCTCTTTTTCCCCTTACCATAGTTAAGGAAATAATAACTGCCACCCAGTTAGCCAAATGGATAGTGCGCTGGACTGTTGTGCAGGAGGTTGAGGGTTCGAGCCCCGGCCGGACCAACACTCAAGGTCTTAAAATAATTGAGAAGAATTTGCTACCATTCTATAACATTAAGAAATGGTTAGATATTCTAGTCATCTCAGATAGGGACGAATAAAGAGAGGTCCTGTCTCCTGCAGGGTTGGGTAGGAGACATCAATTTCCCACACACGAGATTACTGTGTGATGGATGTCCTCCCCTAGGGTGGGATGGTGGGATATACAGGCCCCCATTTAAACCAGCTTCAAGCTGAACTGGGCTGGCCTGTCTAAATATCGTAAATACATACATTCATACAAATAATGGTGAAGAGATGTTTCTGAGATGGTTGCCTTGTTTGTAGGGAACATTGAAACAGGGGTGAAGGAGGGTAAGATCTTAGCCTGTCATAAGGCTAGTGAAGGTAGCAAAGGCCATAAAGGACACATTCTTTGTCTTGCTGTTACTTCTGATGGAAAATTTCTGGTGAGGGAAGCCATTTAGTGGTAAAATAATATAATAAACTGGTAAACTTGAAGGTCAACAGTTTCCGGTATTTCAGTTTTGGTAATAAAAACAGCTTTTGTAGAAATGTAATCCTCAAAGATTCTTATCTATGGTCTAACAGAGTTATAATTCAAGTAGTTTCTGGCAACATGCAAATTAAACCTTACTCAACAGATAAAAAAAAGTGCTCATTTAAGATTTTAAAAAAAACTGATAATGGGAAGAATGAACAAAGAGGTACCAGTACAAGGAGGTTGATGATGCTTAAAACATGATAATGTAGCTCTATTTTGACTGTCAAACTTGTTGAAAGCTGGTGGTGTGGAAACTCTTGTGGTCAAACTGCTGTTTATTTTCTCCAGGCTAGTGGAGGTAGAGATAAAATAATTCACATCTGGAATCCTGCATCACTCCAGCATGTCCACACATTCAAAGGTCACAAGGATGCTGTCTCAGTGAGTCTAACTTGCATTGTTTGAAACACTGTCCCTTCCACAATATTTGGCTCTGGACTAAACTGTGTCATGTTACAATTTGGATATATCAACAAAGTTGAAATGGTAAATTGGCCACCGTTACGGTGGCCAATTTACCATTTCAACTTTGTTGATATATCCAAATTATTTCGTTACCCCCACCGACGCAGCCCCAAACAGTTTCTTTAGAAACTATCAGCCTTTATTCACGTTACCTCTCTTTTTCTTTTTTCTTTTTTTCACAGGGTTTATCCTTTAGGCGAGGAACTCATCAGCTGTTTAGTTGCTCACATGATCGCACAGCAAAAATCTGGAATTTAGATGAGATGGCTTACATAGAAACTCTGTGAGTTTTATTTGGTAGTAAAGTGCATTTTTTACCCCATTATAATTTTATTGAATTATTTTATGCTTTTTATGATTACTAGATTTGGACATGAGGATGGTGTGACGGCTATCGACAGCCTGACACGGGACAGGGCTGTGAGTGCGGGAGGAAGAGACAGAAGTCTTAGAGTCTGGAAAGTTGTAGAAGAATCCCAATTAGTTTTTAATGCACCAGGAAATATGTAGGTTGAAAGTTATGTTACACTTTACTGGCTAAGTTGTAATGCAAAGTGCAAAATTCTTCAATTTAACCGTTAAAAATGACATTGTTCACACCAGATGCCCTTTTTCATCAAATTCAAATCAGTTCCGCCAGGGCTTGCAAAGGTTACCATTTATCATTTGAGAAAAGCAGATTTTTGTATGGGCTCTGGAAGTTGCATGCCTCAACGAGAAAGGGTCACTGGCTACCCATCTGTGTGTTAACTTTTCAACTCCTAAATCTGAATTTTAGTTCTCCCCTCCAGCTTCTACACTTTTGTTTGTAAATAAGTTAAGAGCAGGGCTCAAATTTAATTTTTGGATCACTAACCCTTTGGGTTAGTAGACATCTTTTTTTACTTATTTAACCAAATTATAAAGTTTGGTATCCAAGCTCACAAATTACCATATGTCAAATATTGAACATTTTTATAATAATGACCAGGACAAATTAAAGAGTCGCTGAAATTGCATTGTGACCTTAATAACCTTGACAATTATGCACCTATTTTATTTCCCTCTCGTTTACCATGATTAGTCAAGAACAGCACATCTACAGCACATTCTCTAAAAAGAGTTTAAGTTGATTAAACAACTTGAGTATTCTCAGTATTCCTCTGAGAGTTGGGTCTACGTGCTCTTTGTCCTGCGGTCTATCAATGGTTAAACATGTTAGAAAATTTTACTAACCATACATATGATGCACGATCCTCGTAGTAGATAGCGCTATTTAAGCAACAGCGAAAATCAGACCTGAAAAAAATCAGGCCTGTACGGGATTTGAACCACTGACCTCTGCGATACTAGTGCAGCGCTCTACCAATTGAGCTAACAAGCCAACTGGGAGCAGGCCATTAAGTTGATTCGTAATAAACCCGTGAAAGTGATAAATCAGATACAATGAAATATATGAATCAGGCCTGATTTTTTTCAGGTCTGATTTTCGCTATTGCTTAAATAGCGCTATCTACTGCGAGGATCGTGCATCATATGCATCTAATACCGCAGTTCAAAATATATGAACTTCATATATTTCATTGTATCTGATTTACTAACCATGTTGGGTTAGTTGGACACATTTTTAGTTACCAAACGTTGAAAATTACTAACCACTGGTTAACGGGTTACTGTTAATTCTGAGCCCTGAAGAGAATGTGGTGTTAGGTTAAGATGACAACTTCTGCCTGATAAGTTTGAGTATTCTCAGTACTTGTTTGATAAATAATGTATGTAGATTAAAGCAAGATGTTACGTGTCAATTACTCCTGGGAGTTAAAAAGGAAGGAAGGAAGGAATGGGTTAGAGGAAACCTACCAAAGGGATCTTTTCACAGTTTGTTGCAGGACTCTGAACCCTGTGACCCCACAGGCCTTATTTCACTGTAGATATTTGAAGGATTTTGCATGCAGTTATGCTGCAAAAATGACCACATAAAGATATGCTCTTTGAAGTCAGAAAATTGTTTCCCTTTCTATTTAGGGAGTGATTGACTATTCCCCACAATTTTTCAATTTCTTTCCTGAAATACATAATTATGAATATGGTGTTGTTGCTGACATTACGTAATTTGATCATTTGTAGAGGTTCCCTGGATTGTGTACAGTTAATAAATGATGAGCACATGGTTTCTGGTGCAGATAATAGGCAAGTATAATGTACTGGACTTTATTCATTGCCTTATTTCATGTAAATATAAGTTATTGTTTTCCTGAGCTGTGCTCTTTTAGCATCTACCAGATGGAATAATAATCATGTGGGGACACAAATTGGTAACTTAACTCAATTTGATTTGATTAGTTTTGGCACTTTATGTTTAATTTCCTATTCACTTAAATTTTATATTTCATTATTTTTCATTTCATTACTTTCTTTGATTCCATTCATTTCATCTTACCAACAGCTCACTGTCCTTATGGAGTGTGTCAAAGAAGAAGCCGTTATGCACAATACCTAATGCTCATAGTAAACCAGAAAGCAGTTCTGATGACAGTATTCCAGATGAAAGTTGGATAACATCAATTGCAACCCTACGAAGCACAGATCTCTTGGCTTCGGGTAACATTTTTGTTAATCCTTTCATCCCAAAGAATGATGACCAGCATCTAATTTCTCCATACAATATCAAACCTGAATCACACAGTAAGGTCACAAGAATGAAGGAAATAATCACCAATAAGAAAAAGCTCTTGATTGTTAAACAAATTCTCCATGTTTCCACCTTAGGAAATGTATACAGAACAGTATGGAGAATAGGGTGGGGGCCACCAGGTGTTGCCAGACCACAGCCCTCGGGTGTGAGGGTGTAAAGTGTTAAGAGAACTAACATTTTAAGTCATTCACATTCTTGTTTTCATTCATCCTAAATACAACTCATACTAAGAAATGTTTTGGCAAACGGTTTAGTAGTTGATGGTATAAAAACTTGAATTCTGAGACAAATACAAGTAGTTTATCAAAAGTGATGTCTTTGGAAACTTTTGCCAGCAGGTTCTTGTGATTCATGTATCAAACTCTGGGAATGTGGCGATGGATTCAGAAGTCTGAAGCAGCTCTTCTCCTTATCAATGGTAAGAGTGTCTAAATTTTTCTTGTCATTTTTCTGCAATGTGTGAAATTGCTGGTGTTCCTCTTGAAGGAAACAACATGATACCACCATGTGGCATGAAAGTCTTGTGTAATTTTTGCAAGTTTTTTATATTGTCCTCGAGTGACCACAGAAAGAAAAAAAGGCATGCCTCTTTTGACCCTAACACTCGCAAGATCTCTTTTTAGTGATTCTCCTTACTGTCTGCCACACAATTCTTATAATGTTGGTTTGAAGAATTTTGTATTGGATCAACCTAAAATCCTCTACTTGATTCTTTATTCTCATCACTTGTCTGCTTTGGTATTGAATTGACATTAGGGACCTTAAGCAGTCAGGACGGCAACGCCAAGGAAGACTTCGATTAAAAAATGAATTTCTACTCTTAGTCAGAATTTAAAAAATGGCTGCATGAGCTTACTGTCTCATATGGCACCACAGCTGAAGTTCAGCGTGATGTATAAAAGTAACATTGAGTTCCAAATGGAAGTTAAATTAATTTGCCGTAGCGGTTTCAGTTCGCAGACGACGCAAATTTTGGCGATTTCACATTGTTGTTTTGCATAGGACAGCTAAGAAATGTACAAAGTTTCAAAATGCACAGGCTGAGCTATTGTTCTACCAATTAGATCTCTTGTTTTTCCACGTCCTCGTTGCCATCCGCCGTCGTGGTTGTTTAAGGTCCCTTTTGTAAAGTCAGAGAAATTCTGTCTCGGTCACTCATGTGAGGTGAAGGGTTAAGTTTATTCTCCATGCTGTATTCTTGCTTGTAATTTGGGTCCTAAGAATTTAGTATTAGATGGAGTGATAATTCTACATAATAATTTTCAATTATCTCATCACTTTTCTGTCTGATTATCTATTGATACTGTTACGAAAAAGTATGTCTTGGTTGTTGGAGTTAAATACTCAGGGTCTTTAATTAACTGAGAAGAAAGTGCTGCCTTTGTAATAATATCTGCATTTGGTTAGACTTTCTAGTCTTCTCGGATAGGGACGATAAATGGAGGTCCCGTCTCCTGCAGGGTTGGGGTAGGAGACGTTAATTTCCCACACCCGAGATTACTGTGAGATGGATGTCCTCCCCGGGGTGGGATGGGTGGGTAAAAAA